ATGATAGATATACATACAGACTTACATATAGGTCACTATCCTTTTTTATTGTATGAAATAAAATATTAATTTTAAATTATACAAAATATTTTATACAAAAAATATTTTATTTTATTAAGTATTTAAATATTAAAATATTATTTTTAAATATTTTATTAAGAAATAGTACATATCTGGAAGATATTTAATGATTACTTTTAATTCTCTTTATCGTGTTCCAGGAATTTATTTCTTTTTGTCTCCGCACTGACTACTAATTATGTTCCTTCGCAGTTTGTTTTAGACTCTCTGACTAATGTTTTAGCATATATACAGTTAGTTAAGTTAATCATTTAATGGCTGATCGGAAATACAGCATTCATACATAATTTTCATCGATTTCTTCTTATTTGCTCACGTATGCATACATTTCTGCACCTAGACACGCATGCACGCCTGTATGTCATCTTGCATTACCTCAATGGTGAGTAAATGGCTCTTTCTTTTCCCTCAATAATTACCTCGTTTTTATCTTTTTCTTTTCCATATCTTTTTTTTTACGTTCTCTACGTTCTCTTCATTTCTTCTTAACTGCTTTTATCTCTTCAGCACGCGCCACTGAGGAGATTTGATTTATTTTATAGTCTCGCGATACTGATGTCTCCTTTTAATTATTATGGTAACGCTTATCTTGTATTTTAAGATACCTCGTTTCTTGACGTTTAGAAACTTTGACGTAATTGCCATCCATATTGGAAACACAAAGTTTTATATTTTTATACTTTTTTGTATTTTTAGAGACTACTCTATTTCTTCAAACTTTAAAGATTTATACGTTTATTACATATAATTGTTCTACGTTTTACAGGAGTTTAACAGAGTAACAATTAAAATCCTACAGAATGATCAAATATTCAAAGTAAAACTTATCCTTCTCGCTCCTCCGAGAGAAATAATCCGCGTGTAAAATAAAATAAATCAATCGATGATCGCTCAACGTTGCAACATCATAGAAACAACTTGTTCGACAACCATGACTTGTAACTTTGAACTTTCTTCTTTTTCCCGCCTCACTGAAAGCAGATCTTTCCAGGAGGAGGAGACGAAAGAAGCGTGCGGAGCGTGCATGCTGAGGGGAGCGACGTTTCGTGACTCATCCAAGGTCGACTGGGAAGTCCTTATGGTAGCTGAAGGGCGCGTGTCATCCTTTCTGAGCGAGATCCAGAGGCTGAAGGGCTGGCCCCGGCGTTGGATCCACTCGGCCAGCACCTACATTTAGAATAACAAACGATGACCGACCGCAATGAGAACCTGCTATTGAAATCAACAACGGATCGATCGAACACGGTGCAGCAAGCGCCGTACAAAACTGCCTGCAACTGGAACAACAACAACGACATTCGCACAGGCAACGGCACGACGAATGTGATCAGAAGAGATTCGAATTATTATCCACCATCGAGCAATCATCAGAGAGACAGGACGAATTCGAACTACCACCTGCCAAGGAAGGCGCCGATCGTTGGCTGGCAAAATGGCAGCCCGACGGTGTTCCCAAGCACCCCGTGTGGGACACCAGACCCGGAAATGCTCGACGCGATTAATTTCTCGCGTTCGTACAGCGTCGCCTCGTCCACCAAGTGTTCGGAGATCGGCGCGGCTTCCTCCGGGAACACGGAGGACCTCAGCAGCTTGGCGGACGAGAGGCTGTTGCAGTCGACGCCGGCCCACACCATCGATCGAAGCCTGGAGTCACTGTCACCGGACAGAGACACCTTCTTGACTACGTCGCCCGAGTTCGGCAGAAGCAAGGACCTAAGTCTGCCGGACGATATAGAGGACAAGCTCGACCTGCTGAGCCCCGGCACCGATTGCACGGAGGACAGAATACCGCCTACGCCTGTTTGCAACAGTTACCTGACCTCGCCGAATCTCACGGTAGGGCCCAACCCTACCGGTAGAACCGAGTTGATAATAACCGTCCCGTTGTCCGCCGAGCTGCGACCGTTCGGGAGAAACGGGGAACCTAAGAATTGCAAGTACTCGGAGTCGCGACCGATAATCACCGCTAATCCTGGCTACAGGGACGACGACACGAAGGACTCGATCGACTCGGACAGCGCGTCGGACGACGAGTTAACTAGTAGCACAGAGAAGGGAAAACGGAAACCGAAAGTGCCAGATGGCGGATGGGGCTGGGTGGTTGTATTGGCTTCCTTGGTCATTTCCATGATAGCCGACGGGGTGTCCTTCAGTTTCGGTCTTTTGTACATCGAGTTCCTCCACGAGTTCGGCGCGTCCAAGTCGAAAACAGCTTGGATCGGCTCCCTGTTCATGGCCGTGCCGCTTCTCTCCGGCCCCATCATGTCAGCGTTGGTGGACCGTTACGGATGCCGAAGCATGACCATCGTTGGCGGCCTGATCTCCGGGACGGGGTTCGTGTTGAGCTCGTTCGGCAACTCCATCGAGGTAATGTATTTGACTTTCGGAGTCATCGCTGGTCTCGGTCTGGGTCTCTGCTACGTCACTGCGGTCGTGAGCATCGCGTACTGGTTCGACAAGAAGCGGAACCTGGCCGTGGGCTTGGGCGCCTGCGGCACCGGGATCGGCACGTTCGTGTACGCGCCGATGACCACGTACTTCATCGAGGAATACGGCTGGAGAGGCACTTGCCTGCTCCTGGCGGGCACCTTCTTCAACATGATCGTTTGCGGCACGGTTATGCGCGATCCTGAATGGTGGATCATAGAGCAGGAGAAGCAGAACGGCGCGACACCGAGGAAGTCGACGACCAAGTCCGAGTGCGACAGGTCCAGCGTCAGCCCTGTCGACGAATTCCCTGGGATCGACGAATTGAGAAGGATGCTGAAGAGCGGGCACACACCGGAGTATCTGTTGCAGATCCTCAGCACCACCACGGAGGACCCGCAGGCGGCCAACGGGGACGTCAAGTTCAGGAGCGTGGTTAATCTACCTACTTTTGTCAAACACAATGAAAAGGTGAGAAACTGACCCGAATAAGTACGAATTGTACTTATTGTTTGTATGGATTGTAAATCCTTTAATTGTTTTTTTTTTTTTTCAAATGAGAAGTGCCGATAAAACTTTCCTTCTGACGTTTACTTTCATTTTTACTTGTTTAAATAGTTGATTCTAAATGTAAATTAATAGTTTGATATTAAGAATTTGTAATAAATGTTAAGGAATATTATTGTTAGAAATATTATACAATATTCTTATTATAATATGTTTTTTTTACAACAGGTCATTTTGATTCCAAATATAAATTAGTACCTCGGTATTGGGAATTTTTAATAAATGTTATTCGAAAAATATAGGGAATGATTATTGGAAATACTATGTAATGTATGAAGAATATTGTTATTATAATATAGCAAGTGCTTTATGTCGTATATAAAAATAAAAGAAGATAAGAAAACTGATTGAAAAGTTTGATTTCCGGGAATTGCAGGTGCCTGTGGAAGTATTAGAATCGCTCTCGAGTAACCCGAGGTTGTACAAGGTCATTTTGGAGAACTATCCCAATCTTTTATCATGCAGAAGTTGTTCGGATAAAATGTTACAAGATTCCACTGCAGAAGTCGGCAACAAGAGCGTCGTCACAATGTCAATGAGGTTTTAAACTTAATGAACTTTTTATTTCATTTCTTTATGTCTCTGTCTTATAGTAATGCCTCGCAACTATTACTATAAATAATGATAACAAAATATGATAATATTATGTTCATTCCGATTGAAAGGATCAAACAAGCACCTGACGAACCGAAACACGACAATCCCCATGCAACGAATAATATTCATTCGGGATCCGCGTGCAACACTGTCAAAAATCACATAGCTAAAAAGTTATCGAAAAAGGACTCGGAAGAAGTTAATCCCCTATTGGCGAAAGAACTTGAGCACACAGTTAGTAAATTAATTTCAATCTGTACATTGCAAGTAAAAAGAGATATATAATATAATTTTTCTTTGTTGACAATGTTGCGTGACTTTTTAGATGAACGAAGGAAGAAAATCAAAATCAGTTTCCAAGCAACGTATCGGAGAACTTAATTGCAGAGTGGTCAGAACGGATTCTCTGCCGTGGTTAAGAAGACAGTTTAACACGAATACTCACTACTTCAAAGATATCAGAGTTCACAGGAATTCGGTCATGTATCGCGGTGCTGCCCTTAATTTACACAAATACAGATTAAGGGCCAGTAGTTGTCCCGACATTTATAGGAATAGCATGACTACCTTGGCGAAAGAAAACGAAGAGGTAGGGTAAGAGCCAAAGATATTCATCAGATGCTACATAATACTGTTAAAAGTAAAATCATAATTATTAATTAATGTGGTTAACGAACTACGGATTTTTATGCAAACACATTTTTTTCATGGACATAGACTTAACACTAAACCAAGCGGGGTCAAATGACCCCTTTTCAAAACTTACTTTAAATAAAAATATATGTTTGAG